GCTGCTCTTTTTGCAAGCAGTGGATGAAGCAGGCGGCTGCCAAATGACATTATAAGGGAGCATGGCACAACTTTAAACAAGCATCTTCTCTAATTGCTCAGCAACGAACAACGTAACAATGAAACAACATTAACCAGAATGACTTTAAGTGAGGAGTTACTGTACATTACTTTCCTGATCACGTCAAACTAGAGCACTAGTCTTGGTTGTAATTGTACCTGTCCTCCTGTTGATTTTAAATGACCAGTGCAGCAGTCAAAAAGACCCAGAATGGAGCTAAACATTCCCTGGAGCACCATTCAAATCCATCTTTTCCCACCCCCATTGTGCTCTGAAAGAATAAATCCTGGGACTGCAGGGGAGGTAGCTATCCTTCTAAACAGCAATAACTACCTCTGACCACAGGGCTTTTTCCTCTGGAAAATATTGTAGAATGGTAAATTCTCTAGTTCACACTGAGGGTTACTGAAGTTTGCAAATTAGCAAGAAAACAAACCCACAAGGGTTTGCAAATTAGCAAAAAAACAAGGACAATGTATTTTATTTATTTTGGCCACTGCAGTTTTGTTTTGTTTTTTGCTGTGCTACACAAACATGGTATTTTGTGGAAGTAATGATATCTTAGCATGAAATCCAGAGGTGAAAGTAAGCCGGTACACCCCGGTACGGCGTACCGGCAAGAGCCGGTTTGCTGTACCGGGGCGGCCCGGCTTCCCCAGGGGGCAATTTAAAGGGCCTGGGGCTCCCAACAGGGGCTGGAGCCCCAGGCCCTTCAAATTGCCACCAGAGCCCCACTGCTGGAGCCCTGGGGTAGGGCAGCAGGGCTCTGTGAGCTATTTAAAAGGTCCGGGGCTCCCCTTGCTTCTACCGCCCCGGCCCTTTACATAGCCGCTGGAGCTCTGAAGTAGTGGCGATGGGGCTCCGGCAGCTATTTAAAAGGCTGGGGCATAGAAGCAGCAGGAGCCCCAGACTTTTTAAATAGCCCCCAGAGCCCAGGGGTAGCGGGGGGGGCTCCAGGGGCTATTCAAAGGGCCCGGGGCTCCAGCTGCCTCTGCCACCCTGGTCCTTTAAATAGCCACGGGAGCCCTACTGCTTCCCAGGGCTCCCACGGCTATTTACAGGGCTGGGGCAGTAGAAGCAGGGGAGCCCCGGACCCTTTAAATAGCGCCCCAGGCTGCTGCTGCTGCTACCCCGGGGCAGGGGGGCACTTACCTTACAGGGTGGGCTGGGGCTGGCTCTGTCTCCCTCAGCCATGCCCCTTCTGCCCTAGGCCCCGCCCCTTCCGGGGGCCAGAGCTGGCCCCAGCGTACCGCTAAGTCACTGGACTTACTTTCACCCCTGATGAAATCACACAACAGCATAAATCTGCTCAGGAGAGGCAAGATGAGCTTTTTTCCTTTCACTGTGTAAATTAGTTGATTAGCCAAATCTAGGCTGGCAAAGCAATACTGACAGTCGTGTCCTTTTTCCTCTGGTCAGATTGAAGTTTGACTTTAGTTTGGACTGTCAGCTTCTCTAGTTGGTCATTAATCCTTTGGGGCACAGTGACCTGTTGTAGTAATGTACCCATCCAAAACAGTTTTATCAAGTAATGTGTCCCTTGGCTTTTGCTCTTTTTACTGACAGTCACTTTTTCCAGCCAAGCCTTAACTGGGCTCCTGTTTACTGGTGCAGATTACATCAGTTACACATCTGTGCTTGTATGTGTAAATGAACTTTAAATGCTGGTGCTAAATTGCATCCACGGCTTTAAAAATAGAGGCCATCTTTTTAAAATGTGGCTTATAGTTTGTATTGATTAGTCTATGCGTTTACTGTCTTCTAATGCTATATTCATTAAACATTTCCACAGGTCAAAAGCTTTTTAAAAGATCTTTAAGAAGCTCTGATGGATTTAGTGAGACCAGTTCAGTTAGTCATACTGATGACTTGGAAAAGGTGGAGCAACTCTCCCAATCTGTGTCTACTGTACAAGAGCAAGGGACTGTGGAGACAGAGAAAGCGGAGCAGCAGAATGAGATTGTACAGGTAACAAGTGACAAAACTGAAGACCTGCAAAGTGACAAATCACAACGATCAGGAAATGACTGCACTAAAGTAGAGGAACAAGAAAGTCTAAGATAAAATCCAGATTTTGTGAATGAAGACTTTGTATAATAACCACATTCCCTGTATGGCAGGGAAGTTTATGATGTATTCAAAATGTGAACAGTGCCACATGTTAGTACAGTAACTACTACTGTAATTCACAGTTAACAGGGATTTTGCACAAAAGCAAGTTAAAAACAAAGCTTTTTCCCCTAGGGGCCAGTTAACTTGTTTTATTGTACACTTATGACAATTGTTTCAACCCTATATACATTATCTCCAAAGTGATATTAAAATACCTGATTTATTTTAATGGCTTATAAACATTTGCCTGAAGGAATATTTTTTGGCAAAAGAGTGACAGTTACTGTATGAATCCAGGTGGCATTATAGTGCTTAATGAGTTGATCATACATTTGAGTTAAGGTTAAGCATGCACCTGGTGATATTTGTAAAGTGGACCTAATTTAAAAATATTCAGTAAACCTGCCCGTTGCTCACCTTTCTATTTTAAATCAGTTTAATCTTAAAAAAAAAAAGCACAATAATGTAGGTAGTCATGCTAGCTGTAGTGCACGTCATCTCATTGCTTTTTTAATCCCTAATGTTCATTAGAAATTGCCTCTTACTGAAAAGGTCGTCAAGCAGTTGCGGTGCAATGAGTGACAGGGATGTACACGTGTGTATATTATGAATATGTAAATACTACTTTGCCATCAACTTTTTTTTTTTGCTGTTGTATAAATTGGCCCACTTGTTAAGCTCCTTAATCTTACAGGGCTTCTGTTAACCCTTTTAGAAAGTAATAGTGCCTCTGCATGACACAGATCTATCCTTATTTACTGCTGCACACCCTCTATAACCAGGTCCTATGAACAGAGTTACTGGACTCTTTTTGGTTATGTATTTTTAAAGATACTTGTTAGTAAAGCTTGAAAAAGTCATGTTGCTGATGGTTTCTACACTATTCTGATTTTTGAATAACACAACTAACTTTTAGTAGATATTGTATATATTGAAGAAATTATAGGTTACATACACTACAGCACATAGCTCCTTTATAATCTGTTCACTTGTCTAATATCACAAGTTTAATGTTCAGAAGTATTTTCACCTGTAGAAGCAAAACAGATACACTAAAAAAAATGGATCCAGCCCTACAAACATTGACTTAACACTATCACCAGTATTTCCTTTGCATAAATAGGATGTGCGTAAATTACTACCTTGCGTAGGTCATCATGATGGCTCTAGTGGTAACAGGATTGGATAGCATTGTGATACTTTTAAGGATTTTTTGTTGATTTATATGTACTGTCAACTTTTCAGTTTTTGATTCTCTGGGGCGGGGGAGCTGTAGTTAAAGTATATTAAGTCAAACTTTGTTTATAATTTCAGATCTCATAAAACAGAGTGCAATTTTTTTTAAGTACAAAAACAATTAAGTCAACTAGTCTTCCTTATTAGTTTATTTGGTAATGAAGTACATTAACATGGGTATATTTGTGGGGGGCAAAATCAAAAATTAATTTAATATTTTTATATTTGGAATTGCTGAACTAGTGGTTTTGTTGGATTAGAGCTACATACTTTAGATATTACCCGAATGTTTCAATAAAGATTCTTCAAATTACAATATCTGATTCTTCAACGGTAATTGAATTAAGTTGCACTAAAATCTGTGCTGTAGTTTATGAAAACAGGTGTTTGACTGATGGGGGTGGTTGTTCTAGGTACTAAAGAAAAACTGGAGTGTCAAACACCTCTACTACAATCTCTATCCATATATTGCACAGCCTCTGTGTTCTAACTGTTGCTACTTCCAGTTCACTCAAGGCTCCAACAAGGCTCAAGGAAGGTAGCTTGAGACTCAGCATTACTGTGGGGAGGATCCAGGATGGTTAAGTTTCAGGCCCAGGGTGGGACAGAAGTTGCTTTTGAGTTTGGTTAAAAGACTCCAGAGAGAAGCCCTAGGGCCCCTACACTCATACAGTGGAACAAAAGAGGAGCTCTGGAGGGGAGAAAATGGCAGGCTCATGACCAATGTTGTGTGGGATAGTGATACCCCGGATTAAGTGAAGAGACCTGGCCAGAGGGCCAAGTGACAAGAAGAGAGATCACTCCAGGGCCTAACCAAAGGGTACTAGATGACAAGTGCTGCTATGCCATGCCTGGCACTGCAAGCAGTGAATCCACTCTTCTTACTGGACATGGAATTCTAGGCCTCCTTATTCTACTGGAATGGTTTAGTGAAGTTGTAATTAGCAAATTCAGCATTGCCCTGACTTAACAGGTGGATGTACAAAAAGAAAATGAAACAATATTTGAGAGATGAATAACTACACAATTCACCTGAAATCCATAACTTACTGTATTTTGTGATCCTTTACCTATGATTTTAGTCTTGTGAAACAAGATTATCTACAACCCTGAAAACTTATTAGGGCTTTTAAAGCACAATACACTTTATATAAAGCTGCTGCAAAGTGTCTCACAGTTTGAGTTGTAGAAGGTCATCATTATAGACAACTAAAACAGATTTACTTATCAAAGATTGCCACAGTTTCAGAATAACCAAACTGTCAAGTTTTCATATAGTGCAGGGATGTACATATGTAACCAAAAAACAGAGGGGACAAACCTCACAAGTATTTCATGACATCTTCCATGTAGCTTCTTAATGTAAAAAAGTATCAATATCAAGGTCTAGGTAGGGTTAAAAAAAAATAGCAATCAGAGTAGTAGAAATATTTCCATGAATGTTCTTAAACTCCACCCACAGCATGTGAAGTTACATCTTTTCCTGTAGTCTCTGCAACCCAAACAATGTAGTGGTGAGTGAGCACCTTTAGCTATTTTATTTCCATTGCCCAAGCTTCAGAGAAATGCAAAAAGTAAGCAAACAACCCAAATGGTGAAAAGTTGAGTTTAATGTTTACTTTAACAGAAGATGCCCAGTGACATCTCCCGTTTATTTATTAGTAAATATAAAGATTTATTATTCTAGACCTTTTTAGAATTGAAGAGCTGTACGGAATCATACACTATTACTCCAACAGCAGTGGTAAAATGGCACTGTTTAACAAATATGCTTTCAAGGCTTATGCTCAGCCATCATTCCTGTAGGGTTAATGATTATATCTTTCAGTGTAGAAAAGCCCCCAGCCAGCTAGTGAAAAATCTCATCTATATCAGTAAAACTTACTCTCTCATTTATTCATTCAAGGACTTAATGGTTTAAAATAAATCTCTCTCAAAAAACCCACTTACCAATGAATAAGTTTGTATGCATGTTATACTTTAAGGAGACACTTAGTCCCAGCTTGAAAAAGCACTTTTGAAAGGGCAAGAGCATATTAAATCTCTCTCTAGGTAGATTTTGCAGAAGGCCTTAATATATAACTGATTAGCACCAAAAGTAAAAACAGGGAAGGGCACATCTGAAAACAAGAAAATAGTAGTAAACATTCACTCCCTTATGTAAGTAACAGGGCAAACACATGCACCTCTGCCAAAATATTACTTTGAAAAGCCTTAAACAAGGCTAGTCTGATCTCAGGGCCAGCAGGGAATTTGACCAACATGGATTCAGAAAGATGCTCCTTGGGAAAGCACAGCCTCGCCAAAAGTGTGGCCACTTTGCTGCAAAGCGTGTCCTCCAGTGTTTGCCTCAATGTTAAATCATTTCAAAACAGTCGCTCCCATAAACCTTCTTCAGTCTTTTTATAAAGTCGAGGGTTCCTGTTAGGAAACAGGGAGTCATCGGGAAATGGATGCTCTTTTAAAAATAGCAATGCGGATCTAAGGTGAGAAACAAAGTGGGGTGGTTCAGCCAGAGGCGATGTGGAAAGATTCTGAAAAACAAGATGGTGTCATGAGCTATTTCAAACCAGATGGATAAGAACATTACATGGCTACTGGTGCCTCTAGCTTTAATTTCTGGCCTAGACAAAATGCACCCCCCCTTTCAGCATTTGCACAGAAAAGCCAGCAGGGCTGACAGAATGCTAGCACAACACACATTTTTGTAACTTCAGTTACCTGTAATATCTGTTTATCATCCTGCTCCAACCAGAAGTCCACGTGTGGGAAAGGCATCCAGAAGTAAGGTCCAATGTGGAGTTGCTCTCTCTTTGCATCATAAATATTAGTCATCTGTAACAGGGAACAGACTTTGAGGGTTTCCCTATTGAAACTGAGCAGCAGTAAGTGAACTGAACCCACCATGCCGTGAAGGGGAATGAGCTTGGAGCTGGCTCCACAGCTACTTCCCCCACCCTTTAATATGCAACAAACTGCAGCTCCTGTCCTAGGCCAACAGACTATTCTTCAGTGTCCCCTGCTCCTGTCCTGCTCAGCCATCTACCTCTCCTTCACTGCTTGTCTTGGTTCAGCTCCCTTGTCCACCCTGCAATGCTGCTACACACACACACCTCTCCCTCCCTACTCTGCCCTGAATTAACCAAACGATTAGACAAAACAGCTGCTCTGCCCTTATACAAGAGGCTAAATAGCCTTTTTGTGCCAGAATTTTGGGCTCAAGATCTTAAGTGGCAAACCTTAAATCCACAGATATTCCAGCTGCTTCTACACCATGATCCTGGGGACAGTAGAGGGTGTTCCCCTGTTATAGTTTAGTAGGCATGGGTCAAGATCCTGCAAATACTTCCTTGTGCAAGTGTCTTCTTACTGAAGTCGTTAGCCTTTGGATGAAAGCAGTGTCTTTATGTAGCACACCTGCATCTGAGAGATCATGTGGACCGAAGAGAGCTGGGTTCAATTTCCAGCTCTGCCACAGACTTCCTGCGTGACTCAGACAAGTCAGTTAGTCTCTGTACCTCAATTCCAGGTCTGTAAAATTGGATTAACACCACTACCCCTCTCTCACCCTTCCTCTGCCAGGGACTGACTGTCCAGCATCTAGCACAGTGGTACTCTGATCTCAGCTGAGGCCTCCAGGAGCTACTGTAATACAAATACTGAAGTCTGTCCCTGTTTCCAAATAGAATACTTGTCGAAGTTTTCCATCAGGTACCAGCAGCTGTTGTAGTACAGATATTGGCTAGTATGTCCAGTGTTTGTCTCTGATTACACAACCACAAACTGGCAGTATTTTATCATAGTTACTCCTAAAGGAGTAACTATTAGTTTCTGCCACAGACAAAATATCAGGAGTATTTTTCTCTTAAGAGTTGTTCTCCCCTCCCCCCACCAATATTATATATGTTTGTTTTCACTCACTGGTGCTCCTGTTAACATATGGGCTGAACGCAAATCCTCATCTGGACCCTTATCTGGAAAAGTTGCATGGAAAATCTCTGCTGTTTTAACATTCACAGCTGGGGAGAAAATGGTTTGAATAAAACACAGTTAACCAGCTAATGACGACATTTAAAATGTCCATCCCCCCACAAACACAGAATTCCAGACCAACAGCGCTCTTTGGCACAGACAAAGGTGAATTTCAGAACCTATCAGACACTAATATCAAAGACTATGACAGAGAAACATGTTTAAGTTTCACTTTCTGGTTCACTTGTATTTTCACAATGCTATTGGGTTTCTAGCAGCCCCGAGGAAAGTTTAAAGGAATATGGTCAATTTGAAGATACCACTATAGGAATACAATTTTTGGACAAATTGTATTCCTAGAGTGGTATAAAGATCACAAACTGAAAGTAGTTAGAAGAAGAAAAAAAAAAAAGGAAGAGAACAAAATCAACTAAACCCAGCAGAAAGGAGTTGGACTCCAAACAGAAAAGGCAAAAGATCGAGCAGTCTAGCTCACTGCAGGCCAATAGTTCAGCTAAATGCCATGAAATAACCCTTCGGGCTCTATGATCTCATTAAAAGGAAAAGAAAAAATATACACATGCTCCTAACCAAGAGGACCCTTTCCAAAGGCATTTTCCAAGCAGCAGTACATCTTCAGCATCTAGCAAAGCATGTCTGAGTGGTATTAACAGCAGCCCTGTCCTACCAGAGTTAGCATCAGAGCTACACTGATCTGTGCACCAGGGTATTTTATATCTTCTATATTAGCCTTGGCTGGCAAATGTGTTACCTTTACAAGTCTGAACAGCAACCAGTTTAAAACAGTATACAAGATGCATTGTACTCACCTATTCCATAAATGATTGGGAAATGATTGTCCTTTTCCTTCCTATCATTTAATTCTGTTTCAAAAAGAACAAATATGTCAAATAATCCAGCCACTGTCAGCATGTTTATTTCCAAGCAGCGTTAGTTTAGCTTTAGTCAGGGAGGTGCCCAGACCTTACCCAAAAAAATAAAAAATAAAAAATTGTGGGACATGCAACCTAAAGCAGCCACAAGAGAACTGAAGACTTGGGTTCATATCCTTGTTTAACTCAAGTGAAGTGAGTTTATCTATTTATGTTTTTATACCATGTCTATTATCATGGTATACAGGACAAATTCAGACACAGTCAGGGTAGTTCCATCTCAGAAGAATGGCAACTGCTTATGCCAGTTCTGAATTAATCCTTATCTTTGGTGAACATTTATCCACAGAGCAGAACCAGACTATATAAAATCACTCCTGTTCTTTTTGCGGATACAGACTAACACGGCTGTTACTCTGAATACACCATAGAAATCATTCACATCTTAACAGGCCTGGGACTGAAACAGCTGCTCTGGACTAAAATGCATTGACAAGGGCAGCATGGGAAAGGTGTAACGCTTCTGCCCACACCATGACTGACTCTAGCCAAAGCTATTAGCCCCTCAGTTTCACATGCCAAAAACATACAGCTGTAATGCTGCCATGTTTCAAAGGTTTAAGCTACAGCCAGTATGAAAATACAGCTCTTGTTCTCACTGAAAATGAGGAGACATCAAAAATAATCAGACTTTAATTGGCTACAATGGAGGAAAAAGGAAACCGAAGAGGGGACAGAGGGAAAGGATGATAAAAGAACAATAATTTGGGGCATGTGTCTCCTACACACTTCATTCATCTGTCTGCTGCAATACTGACTAAACACACACACTAAATGCAGGAGGCAGATCTAGTGATGTCAACTGATCCTAGATGGGTTTAGGTTTCCTTCCCAGCAGAACCACAAACGTCTAAAATGTGGAGTGCTCACAGGACCACATGGGTGAAATACTTCAGCTATTTCCACAAGTCCTATTAGCAACTGCAAGTTGCCGTAGCACTTCTGGGAAGAGAAGCCCTAGCCATTGCCCTTCCTGCGGTGTGCTGTGGTAAATCACTACTTCCAGAATACTGACTCTGGAGTACCCAACTAAAATGAACAGATCAGTATACAACAGCAAAAAACACTGTAGGCAATAAGCCCTCATGCCTAGAGCTCACAAACTCACAAAGCTTACAGGCCAGATCGAAAAGTTGCCTCTCCTAAAATGAAGAGCCTCACATTTATTTCAAAGACTAAACATACTTTTACAAAAGGGAAAACATTAAAACTCTTACCTGTCACACAGAAAGTCACTAAATGGACATCATCTTGCTGGAGATCAAATGTTCCTACACCAACAACAGTAGCAGCAAGGTATAAAACTGACTCATGTCAAGGCATGTGCTGCATATAAACTATGGGGTATATCAATGCTGTGCACTGCAGATTAGACGTGAGGCCCTCATTACCAGCAGGAAATCTCCCACTCCATTGTTCTTGATACAGATAATGGACCAGTGTGTGTTTTCCAGATATGTCTCAATATCTTGCTCTTATAAAATAAAGAGAAAGCTACTCTATACAACAGTAATTTACACAACTGGCCATTGGCAAGGGCAGAAAGTTGTTAAAGAGAAAGCCTTGTTTATCAACATTTTATTCCTTTTACAAGCATTTGTTTAAGGTAGCTCTGGCATTATGATCTCAGGTTTAGTTTGTTACACATTTAGCAGGGTACATTCATTAGTAATACCCATTTTATATATGGGTAAATATAGGTACAGAGAGAGAAGAGACTTGCCCAAGATCATACAGCATATCACATATATAGATATAGATATATAGTACATGTGTAAATCATCTCACTGCCCCATCCCCATGTATAAACACATGCCGCACTTCAAATTCCCAAATGGAGAAAACTCAAATCCAAGATTTTTTTTCTACTGTATAATTGAGGATTAAGATCACACACACACACACACACACACGGCCCAAATCCAGCCAGAATTCTAGTTTTTGGACATGAGAATGGAAAAAATATGAACTTACTAAGAAGCTGATTAGTAAGTTTTTGAGATAACTGCCTATCATCATTGAAACCTCCAACTAGGTGAACTTCCAGCCTAACAAATAGAGATGGAATAACAGGAAACAGCAATTAAAAAGACGCCCAATGTGAATAGCTTTTCAATACAATCCCCAGCCCACACCGTACAGTGATCATTAGAGAAGGCTCATTTACTACAGTCACATGCGCCAGTTGATTGTGTATTACCTCATGACCTAATGTGAGTAACCTCTTTGTTCTGGACACTATAGGGAATATCAGATGAACAACACAAACTAAGGACTTGAATCTGAGAGGCACTGAACATGGGAAGTTGCCACTGAGCTTGAGGGGATTTACAGGTACTCAGCTCCTCACAGGACTGGACCTTAAATTACAAAGCTATGTTTTAAGCTTCTCAACAAAGATCAATTAAATGTACTCCAGTGACTTCCTTGCAACTCACTCAAACCTTAAGATAGGGGTCTTGGTGAGACGTCTGTGTAAATATGGCTCCTCTTTCACTCTATAGGTCTGTTGTCCGTGGCCAAGCTCTTCAAAAGTGACTAGTGATTTTCAGGTATCCAACTTCAGGAGACCCCGTAAAGGGACCCAATTCTTAGAAAGTGCTGAAGAGTCACCAGCTGAAAATCAGGCCCCTTTAAGGTGTTTCAAGTAAGAAAATACTTGCAACTACTTGCTTTTGAGTAAGTCTCGGACCAGGTGTATTCAGTGTTGTATCTGCCAACTTTACCAAGTTTTGCCTCTACAGGTCTGACAGGAGTAAACACAATCAAAAGGAATTGAGCTGAATTCTTTTCTGGTTCCCATAACAGCAACAGAATTTATAACTAAATTCTGATTCAGAAGCTTTATTGTTTTATGTGCAAGCCAGAAACTTCCAGATTAACTCAGATCCCAGGACGAGTTTACAGAACCAACAGTTTTTAAAAAAAGCAAGAATCCATTTGTGAAACTAAGCACATTGGAGATGGAAATCACTGAGACACACACAATAAACATGGAACCTCACAATGGCAGTTTTACAGAGACACTGTTCAAAGCAGACTCACGCTTTAAATTAAAGCGCTGCTAAGAGAACTACAAAAATAATATATACATACAAACGTCAATGGTTCTGAGTAAATCAAGAAAAAAAGCTATTACATCTGTAACAATGCCAGTAGGCAAAAAAAATATCACTGTGGAAACAGTGTTGTTTCCTTGTTGAGATGGGTTTTCCTGCCCTGGCTCAGCAAGCCGCTAATTCTTTATCTGAGCCCCAAATGATCACATTTAGAATTTCTCACCTTACACACAACAGTGACCCCTGCGAAATACCGTATACAAGACATAATAGAGCAGAGCTAACCTTCCACATTCTGTGTCATTAGAGAAAGATTTTACTGCACTCATAATCAGCGACACCTCGGCTTGCGTGCTGGATCCATCACAGTGTGTCAAGCAGGTAGCGCCACTCCCTGAAAGGCGGGCAATAAGCAAACATTTACCTGACCACAGCTCTGTACAACAGCAACAAAAACTTTGTCATTCTGTAGAGTAGGTTATAAAATGGATAAACCGCATCCAGATTTTACAGGAGGAGAAACTGGCACTAAAAGAGATTAAGTGACTTGTCTGATATCACACAAATTCAGTGTAGTCAGGAACAGAACCTCAGTCTCCTGATTCCCAATATCCTGCTGAAACCACTAGGTCTCCTGTGCTGCCTTCATAAGAGCCAGGGACTGAGTTCCATTCCCATCTCTGTCACTAAGGGCTTGTCTACACTTGAAACACTACTGCAGCACTTCAGCATAGACACTACCTATACCAGCAGTTCTCAAGCTGTGGGGCGGGACCCTAAAGTGGGTCACGAGGGCTGGCTTAGACTTGCTGGGGCCCAGGGCCGAAGCCATAGCTTGAGCCCCACCACCCAAAGCCTGAGGGTTTCAGCGCTGCGTGTTGGGACTCAGATTACAGGTCCCCTGCCTGGGGCTGAAGCCCTTTGGCTTCAGCTTTGCCCTCTCCTCCTCCCTCCCCCCCACCCCAAAGTCAGTTGGGTTCGGGCGGGCTCGGGCGGGCTCAGGCTTCGGTCCCCCGTCCTGAGGTCGTATCGTAATTTTTATTGTCAAAAGGGGGTCGCAGTGCACAGAAGTTTGAGAACCCCTGACCTATACCAACAGGAGTGGTTCTTCCGCCAGCATAGGTAATCCACCTCTCCAAGAGGCAGTAGCTAGGTCAATGGAAGAATTCTTCTGCTGACGTAGTGCTATCTACAGAGAGACTTCGGTCGGTTTAACTTCGTTGCACAAGGGGGTGGATTTTTCAGTCTAAATCTGGATCGATCTAAATTCTTTAGTGTAGACAGGCCCTAAGTCACTGTATGACACTAGACAAGTCACTTACTTAACCAACAAATCAGACTCCTGTGTCTAAGGGTTAGAGTGAACATGCAGCTCTAACGTATGCAACCAAAGGTAATGCAGGCTGGTAATAGCAAGGTTTCTTAAAACGTGACCCATGCAAACTAGAATAAATGAATTAGAACACCCAGTGTAAGCTCAATACATCAAATGTGGAAGTTCCATATGAAATAACAGTCATTACACAGCCATTATTTGAGAAACATGCATCTCATGGTCCAGGTTTCCTTTATGATACCTGTGTGTCTGAGCACCACCAAGTGGCAGGTAGTTGCATCATCAGACCCAAGGATGGACACGGAACCTGTTTTAAAGGAGAGAAATACAGTAAGAATTTGACCTTCATGCCTGTTGCTTCAATAGCTAACATTATTGCATCCCCACGTACCATCTTTAGGGGTGGTCACTGCAAACTCTCTTTGCTGGATGTATAGAAGTCCTTTGGGTCCCACTGTTTGAGCAGGTTGGCCTCTTAGAACTCTTGCTTTCTCCTGTAAATAAATTGCACTCAGACTAAAATGGCTGAAAGAGCAGGTATAGCAAGTACTAGAATGGACACTGACCCAACCAGGCCTATGGAAAACAGAGGGAATCAGGTGGCAGTTCAGGGAAGACCATGAAGGCTGAGATTGACTATAAATACTTACATTTCATGGCGTTTTACATCTTCAGTAACAAAGGGGGAGGCCAAAGACTCGGAACATGGATTGGATATCAGCAGACCTGAGTGTGACTGGTTTCCACAACAACCAAGCCTACAATCATGAGTTTTGGAAGAAGGCTATAAAAGTCATTGATCCCCAAAGAGGTAAGTGGCAAGAAAGAAGAAGAGTGTTTTACATCCTCGAGGCTTTTTCCAAACATTAACCAGTTAAATCTTCACATCACCTCAGACACAAAGACTGGCTCCTAGCCCTGTGCTCAGTCTACTGCTATGATTAGAACAGTTAAATATTTAAGTCAGATCTATTAGCTTCCCTATAGTTGTTATCTTGGATGCTTTTAAGAGACATTCACAAAGGATAATTTTTAAAGGCTTGACTGTAATAACCTTACACACATATAGCAAATAGTATGATGCAACATGAGTAGTCCTGCTAAAGTCAAAAGGACTCCTTATGGAGGAAAGTACTGTTCAGGCTGAGTAAGGTAATCACAATCTAGAGCTAAAATACCAGAAGATATGAACAAAATAATCAACTTGATTACTTGTAAGTTGTTTTTATTTGATGATTTCATTCATTATAAATCTTTTATTATTATTATTATTATATTAGTACTAGAGAATTAACATACATAACCCTCCTATTTGGAGAATGAACCAAAAAGTCTATTGTACCAGCAAACCCTGGATTGCTCAAATGACTCTGGGTCTCCCCATAGAAGCGGTCTTGGAAGTACAAACACTATGTTCATTTCTTTAGCTGGTAAGAAACTCCTCCCGCTGGCTTGAATGCAGTAGAGGGATAGATTCTAAGTGATATTTGCTCATCTACACTCCACAAAACATTATGTAACCCTCCTTCCCATAAACCAAACTGTTACGGAGTACTCCGATTCCTGAAGCTGACCACACACATCATTCAACACTGATTTACTTTAATACCCAATCACAAACTTGAGTCTGTTTTGTTCTAGCAATGTCTAAGACTGGGTACGCATAGCCTGATTTGGGAGCTGCAGGGGCTCAGTGCTGAGAGAATCTAGCCAGAAACATTAATACAGGGTATGGACTTGATGATTCAATAGAGGTTCTCCATTTCCAGTGGCTATAACATAATAGCATTCTCTAGTATGGGGAGGGGGGGGGAGAAATGGAGCTTGGGCTTTTTTGTTTTTTTACTTCTTGATGATGCATAAAGACCCTCCCTCCAATACCCATAGCTGGACATCTATGCCCCTGCACTGCCCATGCCAGAACACCCTGTATCAGGGCTTCTGGGCCCCCAAGAACACCACATGCCAGGATGTCTATGCCTCCAACGTGCGGGCACCACATCAGGGTTTCTGCCCTCCCACCCAGCACCCCACACTGGGGGGGAGGAGTGCATGCCTCCAATACCGGAGAGCACCCTATGTCAGAGAGACAAGGTCTGGCTCCAGAGCTGGTCTCTCTCACCAACAGAAGTGAGCCCAGTAAAAGATGTTACACCTCCCACCTTTTCTCTTTAATATCCTGGGACCCACATGGCGACAACACTGCATATACCCTGGGCCAGGGCATTTAGCCCACCGAGAGCGCCAAACACAGGCGTACAGACCCCCATCCTACTTGGTAAGTTACCTGTGACATTGGGAAACTCCCCTTTCCCCCGTCAAAGCCAATAGGCTCTGGACTTCTCATTAGCGGAGTGGGGCCTCCGTCCAAAGCCTGCTCCACCCCGGCCCGCTCGGGAGATGGCACAAACCTACTCCCTCCAGCTGGGCACTGCAGCCTTCCTGGTTGGAGTCCGACAACCCTCCTGCCTCCCCGCTGGGGCTGCCCTTCCTTCCTTGCACCCCTGCCGCAGCCCCCGTCCCCTTACCTCCAGGTGCGGGTAGGTGCGGATCAGCTCCCCCGGGGGCTGGGCCAGGTCGATCCGATCCCCGTTAATCAGCAGAGGCATCTCTGGGAAGCGCCCGCTCCTGAGGCTGCCGGGCGGACTACTTCCGATAGCAGCCAGCTGGGAGGGGAGGCTGCATGGACTGACATCGCAAGGGGTTCTGGGAGATGTAGTCCGGATGGAGAAGCCTGGTTTGGATTTGAGTAGTTCTGTGCCTGCCGCCAGAGCCTGCACAAACCTGACTTCAACTAAAGGGCGGGGAAAGAAAACGATACTGATGCACGTTAGACCACCTCACCCCCAAGAGAGCAGCATAGGTACTCTCCCCTCTTAAAATGAAACTTGCAACCCCAGAAAGGATTGAAGAAATGTGCGGTTCACAGCTAGGACAATTGCAGATCTGTCTGAATTTCCACCTCCAGGACAGGGACTACTGAACTCCAGCAGGGCTGTATTTAAAATAAACCATCTCTAATGGAAACTACAGGGGGCATTTTAAGCAGGCAGAATATAATGACCCATCATGGAATCAGCCCATTACAGTAGGCTTTAGTTCTCTCATGAAGAGTACCATCAATTACACAAGCAGGGCACAAATACTCATCAAACCAAATTTGCAGCAGACCAGAAAAAAAGAGGCCCACTGAATGTGTGGGCCCAGCCATTTGTACATGTAGAAATCCTGTCTTTAGATAAGAAGAGGCAGTAAGATATACTCGCACATACAGATTTTCTCCCCCCACATCCACACATTTTGTGGGTACAGTTAGATCCATGCTGAAAATTTAGCACATTATGTCAAATTAAGAGTTTCATACCTTAAAAGCAGTAAATAATTAATTGCTTGAGGCATATTCAGAAATATTTATTTAAAACTGGGTATTTTCAATCAACCCCCACTTCCTATGCACTGGCTTGGTATCTGCAGCACTCCGCACAACCCTCACTTCCAATGGCCCAAGTCAGACCTTGTACAGGCTGGAAAGTGATACTGTGGTCTGACATATATTGCATTAATTCATTTAAGTCTTAAACAAATCTGATTTTTCTTTCTCCACAAAAGTCAGCGGAATCAGATGTAATTAATAAATATGAGTTGTACTGGAAGGGTCCCTCAAACTGTCGTCAGCAAACTGAAGTGAAGGAAATGTTGGGATGAAATCAGCCCTCTCTGGATACTACTACAAATCTCTGGTGGAGATTATTTCTAACTACTCATAAGAATACTTTTGTAGAAACATTTTTGTTTTTGACTACACTAAATGTCATGTATTTTCAAATTAATTTCCCAGAGATACAGATCCCCAAAACTGACATCCTTCTCAAAAGACACACACCGAAACGTCATATGCCCCATGATAAGCAGTGGGCTATATGTATTGCTAATTAGACCTGAATGGAAAATTTAAAGATGTTGGGAGAAAAACCAGACTCCCCCTTTCATTTTCCAGCCAGCTGTATTCTCAGTATTCTCACTATAATTTTGCCCAGCAAAGGATAAACACTTCTAGCAAAGTGCAGCTTAATAAGCTTATTAGCTAAGTGTTGTTGCCTCCTTTTATTATGGTTATAAAAGCATAAATGGGAAAAACAAGCAAAGAGAACGTAGGATCCATAGTCTTTGTGATCACACACAGCCCTAATCAGGGGATTTATACAGACTAAGACACAGAAACATTGTGGGAGCCCTTGTTAAAATATTGCTTACACAGAAGATCCCTGACAATCTAACACCCTGAAAGGTCTGGTGTTGATTGTTTGACTAGCTAGGACAACTGAATATGTGCTCATTTTTTAACATTACAATTTTCAAGATGTCCCAAAATGTGGGTCTAAATACAAAGCAAATATTTTTCTAGAGCTAATAATAAAAAAAAAAAAATACTCACACACGTGCGCAAATCCCCAGATCACATATAAGATATAGCAATGTTAGCCAGAAGAAAAAACTGGCATTATGTTTTGGAAAAAAGTCTTATATCTGAGTTCACCCAACATGTTGACAAAGCCATTGGTGTCACGGGGAAGAATGCAATCTTTTGATCACTTTGGAACCATTCTTTCTTTACTGTTGCTTAAGATAAGTACTTTTATGTTGGGAGATAAGGCAATTAATTTCAAATGCAATTCTCTTTTTATTGTTCTGGAATGACAGCAGAAGGGATGAGATTTAAAACAAAACAAAAACAGTTCATTTATAGATACCGGAAGATTAATTTTGCCATGTCATCCCCAAACCCCTGTCTCATCCAAAGTCTCCACCTCATCAGTATCATCACACAGTCCTTCAGGAGGAACATGCCAAATTAGGTGCTTCTGAAACCCATACTACCACATCCTGTGTCATCTTCCAGTGGCTAGATCACATATAGAATTCCATTTATTTTTGTGTAAGTCTAAGTTTTGCAAGTATCTGCACGTGTCAAGTTTATTCTGATTCCCACCCAATGCTCAAGTCTTGAAAGTCTAACAAATAAGAGTCTAAACAAAAGGTCAGAGAATTACAGAGAATTTGGCCCAAAATACTTAAAATTTTACTATTTTCAAACAGAATAAACTCATACTTTTTTTTTAAGTGTTTGTAATCTAACTGAAGCATTGTGCAGATATTTCCAGTTCATTTTGCAGTAATTATTTACATATGTATTCAAACCTCTCCCGCCTAAAAATCCAATTATGTAAAACAAAACAAAGTAAAGAAATTCCCTGCAGTGACACATGAGGAGAATTGCATCTTTTCCTTTCTATAAACAAAGGGTTTTTTTGTTGTTTCACAATTCACATTTAAATATAGAGTTCCAAAAATAATAAATACCTACCATTATACAGTCCTTTTCATCCCCAGAACTTAAAGCATTGCACAACATTTCTTGAACTGACTACATATCATATGATCACACATTAAGCTGCTTTCATGTCACTTTCAAAACTGACAACTGTCTGAGGTGTTGAAAGTCTGAACTTTCACACTTAAAATTTTTTTTCCGACAAAATCTTATGCAGTGATAATAGCACCTTCCATCTTTAAAGTGCTTTACCACGTATTCTACAGATAGGGGAAGTGATTTGTCAAAGGTCAGAGGGAGGCAATGTCAGGCTGGAATTAGAACTCAGGCCCTGGTACCTCATCCTATGCTCAGTTTACTTGTTAGAAAGATAACTTAAAAACATACCCAATCAAAACACAATTAAACATTTAGAGTGAAATCTTAGTCCCAATGTAATTAATGAGAAGAGGGGCCAGGATTTCACCCTTACTATGTAAATCCTTATAGAGGAAACATTATTAAACAAAAACTAATCAAGAAAAATAACTATAAATTATGTATAAACTATTTCAATATGAAAATTGTAGAATACTGCAGTTTATTCTCTAGCCTTTTTTAGCAATGTATGAAATTAATCAGAACACATCTCTGTAGAAATCTGAGCAAGTTTAAGTAAAAAATAGAGTCTTTCTTCTTTAATATGATTACCAAAACAAGTAAAATCTTCAGAGTTTGGAAAGTTGCTCAGAAAGTCTCTTTAAAGAGTGAAAATTGCACATAGCTTTTGATCCACTTAATTTCTGATTCTCAAAGTCAGAGGTGCCGTTGTACATATGTTACTGGAGGGGATCCTACACTGCTTGCCGGGCTCAGAATATTTGAGTCATAAGAACTTGGAGTAATTCCAACCATGCCATCATTTTGAGGTGTTTCTCCTTTCAGAAAGTCATCGTCTTCATCTTCAGTTGTACACTACGCAAAGAGAAAAAAATGTTAGTGAAAACAGAAAGACGTTATAGTACCTTAAATAGAGTTTTAAGCCTTAGGTTTAAATTTCTTCACCAGGAAAAGTTATCTGAACACCACATGAGATTTACCGGAGTGTATTAGTTGGCCCAGTAAAATAAAACAGTTCTCAGGAGGCTCCCAGTCTCTGAGTTAACACAGCTAGTAGATTTCACACCATAGAGAAGCATATATCTGACCAACACGTACACATGTCTAGACAAGCAGAGAAAAGTCCTGGAAATTTGGGCATTTCTGGTATTTATTTGCTAAAAGCGTTTGTTTTTGTTTGTTTTTTGGCCAGAAAATTAGATAAAGTGCTGAAAACCAGAAATGTGTTTTTAAATAAACTCTGAAATAATTCAAAATGTTGCAATAATACAGTTTACCGATAAAGCACGACTGCGTTGGCCAATTACCACAATACACACACACATATATATATATATATACACACACACACACACACACACACATATATATACATACACACAAGCAATACTATTTTATTATTGAGATAGCTCTAACAATGTGCTATGTACTGTACAGTATACAAAGGTACACCCCTGCCACAAAGAGTTTTCAAGCTCAGTCATAAGACTCTGGCTGGTCTGGAAAGTCCAGAGGATTTTCTTTTTAAGAAGTTCATGGTCTGTAGGCCTCCCAGAGGTCAGACAGTTTTAAGGAGTTGAATGAAGAGAAGTGGCTATTTGGCAGACAGATGGGAAGAGAATTCCACACAGACTGCAAAGTGTATGTAGACAGGAGTGGCAGAAGGAAGTGAATCAATTAGATAATGTGGAGATGGCTGTTCTAGGAATACTTTACATAGACAGAAGCTGGAATCACTGGCAGGGCAGAGGGGAGCTTTAATAACTGTAGTGTATTGTGAGAATAGATCCAAAACAAATCTAAAAGTGGCATCCACAGGAATCATCCCAGGGGTTTAATGAAAAAAAAAAAAAACAACAACAACCTAAATCTCTGATACTACACTGATCTCGATCTGTGCCAGCATCCTAACCCACCAGCCTGTATGTCAGCTCCTCCTTCAATCAGGACAGAGATATCACTGTACCTGTTTGATGATTCACAGCAGTTGGCCCATAGTGCTAGCATCAGAGCACAACTATGAATACATCCACAAAAGGAGAAATCAAACAGTTATCTGAGGGCCATGATGATCCCCCCCTCTCCCCACAAATTAGATAAAAAATGCATTTTCTATGTACACAGAGCTTCCTGAATTCTACATAGCTAATAATTCAGTGCTGGTTTCCCACTAACATTAAGCATTTTGTGACCAAAAAAAAAAATGACTCCCAAAATGCAAGTATACTTCCTTAATCGTCAGTTGATGCAGGATTTAAGATTATTTTCTTTAACCAAAAATAAAATAAAATAAACCCCCAGAAACCACCCACACGATTTCGGACAGGA